TCCAATCCCATGGACAGAGGGGCATGGCAGGCTCCAGTCCATGGGGTCGTAAGAGTCAAACACAACTTAGTGACTAAACCACCACCATCACCACCAGCAAGAACATAAATATTAACTAACCACAAGTTACTAGAATTTGAACTGTGCAATCTAGGGTAGCTGGAAAGGCATGCAGACAAGTGGGGGTCGGACTCACTATTCCTCATCTTACTTTGGTGGCTTCATCTGTGTCTGGTCCCACAGCTGGGCTGCTCTCAGTGAAAGGGCTTCCAGACTGTGGCCTCGGCTCCCGCACCAGCCTTGCAGGGCTGAGGACCTGTTTAGTGTGATGGTTCATCCCGTTAGCATCACACCCCACAGTGTTGCCTGTATGAATTTGTTAGCGCTGCCGTAAAAAATTTCCACCAACTGGGTGGTGGCTTAAAGCAACAGAAATGTGTTCTCTCACAGTTCTGGAGGCCGAAGCCTGAAAGCAAGGTGCTGGCAGGGCCACCGTGCTCCCAGAGGCCCTGCCGGAGATTCCGCTCCTTGTCCCGTGCAGTTTCTGGGGGTCCAGCTGTTCCCTGCTTGCGGCCGCATCACTCCGGTCCCTGCATCTGCAGTCACGTCGCCTCCTCCTTTTCTCTCAGTGCCTCTCCTTGTGTGTCCCCTTAAAAGGACACTTGTCATTGGGCTTAGGGCCCACCCAGATAATCCAGGACGATCTTTATCTCAAGCTTCTTAATTGCACCTGCGAAGACACTTTTGCCATATTTACAGGGTTCAGGGTTTAGGATGTGGACATATTTTGGGAAGGCCACCTTTCAAACAACTACTTATGCGCTGTTACCTAATTTTTTGAAAGTCTCTTTTGTTTCTCTTCATTTTCTTACTTTATCCCCCAACTCCTAGCCTAAGTAGAGAGAGATGATGTTGGGGAAGCTTCCACGTCCTCCTGCCACTCAGGACCGCCTACACCCACCCCCTGCCCTAAACCTGGCCCTTGTTCCCCTTTCTCCCAAGAAGGCCAGGCAGCCGCCAGCTCCTCTGTGCCCTGGGACTCTTCTTCCTTTTCCCAAATTAGCTGTGATGTGACAGGCCGTCTGTCCAGGTTTTTTGATCCTTGTCATCCCACAAACAATACGAAATGTTTTATAATGTTCTGTTGCCAAGTGTTCAGGGGAGCTGGTCCAAGGTAACAGAACTTTGCTGCAATCGCTGTCAGAACTGACAGGCACCTCCCTGTGGTCCAGTGGTTAAGAATCTGCCTTGCAGTGCAGAGGATGTGGGTTCGATCCCTGGTCAGGGAACTAAAACCCCACATGCTTCGGATCAACTAAGCCTACACGCTATAAGTAGGGAGTCTGTGTGACACAAATATCCTGCATGCTGTAACTGACACAGACAAATAAATAAATATTAACCAAAGAACTGACTGCCAGTCATGCTCCTAGACCCAGGCCTGCTGTGGATCTCAGTGCCTTCGAGAACCCACAGGGGTCTCTTTCCTCTGGCACATGTGTCTTTTGTCTCTAAAGATTCCTGCCTTTCTTCTAGCCAGACAGGACCTCCCTCTCCCTTTGAGGGTGTCTGCTTTCCACACAGGAAGGTTGAGGTGTGCCCTTGCCCTCACTCCTCAGACCCATGTAATATGACAGTTTTCAAACAGACAGAAAAGTTAAATCGTAAAATGAACACCTGTGTACTCACCACCTGGATTCAACAATTATTAATATATTGTCATAATTGGCTTTTTCCCATGTGGGTTAAAAATAGGATTGAGAAGCAAGGTGTTGACAGATGATATTTTACTTCTTTTTAAGTGAATGGATTAATTTTGGCTGCACTGGGTCTCCGTTGCAGTGCACGGGTTTTCTCTAGTTGAGACGAGAAGGTAGCACTTGTCTTGTTGCAGAGTAAGGGCTCTGGGCATCTGGGCTTCAGTAACTGTGGCTCATGGGCTTGGTTATACCAAGGCATGTGGAATCTTTCTGGCCCAGGGATGGAACCCATGTTCCCTGCATTGGCAGGCAGATTCTTAACACTGTACCACCAGAGGAGTCCAACACACGATATCTTACCTAGACATACTTCTGTGTGCATCTGGACATCCTTCATCCCTGCAGCATCACCTGGGAGCTTGTTCAAAGTGCAGAATCTCAGCACTGTTCAGACCCAGCTGAGTTATAATCTGTATTTTAACAAATCTCCAGGTGATTCATCTGCACATTAAAATTTAAAAAGCCCTCCCCATAGAACTACAGTGCGGTTATAACACCACTGAAAATTAACAATAATTTCCCAGTCCACATCGTGATTGCTCTTTTAAAAGTGCTAACAGTTTGATACGGATTGCATTGAATCTATAGATTGCTTTGGGTAATATAGCCATTTTCACAATATTGATTCTTCCAATCCACGAACACGGTATATTTCTCCATCTGTTTGTGTCCTCTTTGATTTCTTTCATCAGTGTTTTATAGTTTTCTATGTATAGGTCTTTTGTTTCTTTAGGTAGATATACTCCTAAGTATTTTATTCTTTTTGTTGCAATTGTGAATGGTATTGTTTCCTTAATTTTTCTTTCTGTTTTCTCATTGTTAGTGTATAGGAATGCAAGAGATTTCCGTGTGTTAATTTTATATCCTGCAACTTTACTGTATTCGTTGATTAGCTCTAGTAATTTTCTGGTAGAGTCTTTAGGGTTTTCTATGTAAAGGATCATGTCATCTGCAAACAGAGAGAGTTTCACTTCTTCTTTTCCTATCTGGATTCCTTTCACTTCTTTTTCTGCCCTGATTGCTGTGGCCAACACTTCCAAAACTATGTTGAATAGTAGTGGTGAGAGTGGGCACCCTTGTCTTGTTCCTGATTTCAGGGGAAATGCTTTCAATTTTTCCCCATTGACAGTGATGCTTCCTGTGGGATTGTCATATATAGCTTTTATTATGTTGAGGTATGTTCCTTCTATTCCTGCTTTCTGGAGAGTTTTAATCATAAATGGATGTTGAATTTTGTCAAAGGCTTTTTCTGCATCTATTGAGATAATCATATGGTTTTTATCTTTCAATTTGTTAATGTGGTGTACTACATTGATTGATTTGCAGATATTAAAGAATCCTTGCATTCCTGGGATAAAGCCCACTTGGTCATGGTGTATGATTTTTTAAAACTACCAACGGTATTTTTCACAGAACTAGAAAAAATAATTTCACAATTTGTATGGAAATACCAAAAACCTAGAATAGCCAAAGTAACCTTGAGAAAGAAAAATGGAACTGGAGGAATCAACCTGCCTGACTTCAGACTATACTACAAAGCCACAGTCATCAAGACAGTATGGTACTGGCACAAACACAGAAATATAGATCAATGGAACAGAATAGAAACCCCAGAGATAAATCCACGAACCTATGGTCACCTTATCTTCGACAAAGGAGGCAAGGAGATACAATGGAAAAAAGACAACTTCTTTAACGTGGTGCTGGGAAAACAGGTCAGCCACCTGTAAAAGAATGAAACTAGAACACTTTCTAACACCATACACAAAAATAAACTCAAAATGGATTAAAGATCTAAATGTAAGACCAGAAACTATAAAACTCCTAGAGGAGAACACAGGCAAAACACTCTCCGACATAAATCACAGCAGGATCCTCTATGACCCACATCCCAGAATTTTAGAAACAAAAGCAAAAATAAACAAATGGGACCTAATGAAACTTAAAAGCTTTTGCACAACAAAGGAAACTATAAGCAAGGTGAAAAGACAGCCCTCAGATTGGGAGAAAATAATAGCAAATGAAGCAACAGACAAAGGATTAATCTCAAAAATATACAAGCAACTCCTCCAGCTCAACTCCAGAAAAATAAATGGCCCAATCAAAAAATGGGCCAAAGAACTAAACAGACATTTCTCCAAGGAAGACATACAGATGGCTAACAAACACATGAAAACATGCTCAACATCACTCATTATCAGAGAAATGCAAATCAAAACCACAATGAGGTATCATTACACACCAGTCAGGATGGCTGCTATCCAAAAGTCTATAAGCAATAAATGCTGGAGAGGGTGTGGAGAAAAGGGGACCCTCTTACACTGTTGGTGGGAATGCAAATTAGTACAGCCACTATGGAAAACAGTGTGGAGATTTCTTAAAAAGCTGGAAATAGAACTGCCATATGACCCAGCAATCCCACTTCTGGGCATACACACCGAGGAAACCAGATCTGAAAGAGACACGTGCACCCCAATGTTCATCACAGCAATGTTTATCATAGCCAGGACATGGAAGCAACCTAGATGCCCATCAGCAGATGAATGGATGAGGAAGCTGTGGGACATATATACCATGGAATATTACTCAGCCATTAAAAAGAATTCATTTGAATCAGTTCTAATGAGATGGATGAAACTGGAGCCCATTATACAGAGCAAAGTAAGCCAGAAAGATAAAGATCATTACAGTATAATAACACATATATATGGAATTTAGAAGGATGGTAATGATAACCCTATATGCAAAACAGAAAAAGAGACTCCAATGTATGGAACAGACTTGTGGACTCTGGGAGAAGGCGAGCGTGGGATGTTTCAAGAGAACAGCATCGAAACATGTATATTATCTAGGGTGAAACAGATCACCAGCTCAAGTTGGGTGTATGAGACAAGTGCTCAGGCCTGGTGCACTGGGAAGACCCAGAGGGATCGGGTAGAGAGGGAGGTGGGAGGGGGGACCGGGATGGGGAATACATGTAAATCCATGGCTAATTCATTTCAATGTATGACAAAAACCACTGCAATGATGTAAAGTAATTAGCCTCCAACTAATAAAAAAAAATAATAAAAATTAACAAATTAAAAAAAATTCATATAAAAATAAATAAATAAATAAATAAATAAGTGCTAACAGGTGAATCACATGCCTCCGATCACTCACCAAGCCTCGCTACAATGCATTGATCGGGCTGTGTTTTTCTCCACCTCTTCTCTTGTCTTCCCCTCCCCAGGGGAGCTCATGGACGGCCGGAGGGGCCTGGTCCCTTCCAATTTTGTTGAGCGCGTGTCCGACGACGACCTGCTGGCCTCCCTGCCTCTGGAGCTGGCTGACTTGTCCCACAGCTCAGGCCCCGAGCTCAGTTTTCTGAGCGGCGGCTGAGGCGGCAGCAGTAGTGGGGGCCAGAGCAGCGGGGGACGCAGCCAGCCCCAACCAGAGGACGAGGCGGCCGGGGAGGCACCCAGCCCGAGCCCCCCGCCTGAGGGCCTGGGGGAGCTCCCTGCCGTGCCTTACCCCCGCCGTCTGGCCGTCCTGAAGCAGCTGGCCCACAGCGTGGTGCTGGCCTGGGAGCCGCCTCCTGAGCGCGTGGAGCTGCGCGGCTACCACGTCTGTGTGAACGGGGAGCTGCAGCAGGCCCTGGGGTCCGGGGCACCCCCCACGGCTGTGCTAGAGAACTGGGACCTGCAGACCGGGCCCCTCCGGGTCTCCGTGCAGGCCCTGACCAGCCAGGGCGGCTCCGACCCGCTGTGCTGCTGCTTGCTGCTGGGGGCCCGGGCCCGCGTGGCTCCTAGCCAGCTGCGGGTCCATCGGCTGACCGCCACATCTGTCGAGATCGCCTGGGTGCCCAGCAACAGCAGCTTGGCCCACACCGTCTACCTCAACGGGGAGGAATGCCCCCCTGCCCGCCCCAGCACCTACTGGGCCACCTTCTGCCACCTGCGGCCTGGTACCCTCTATCAGGCCCAAGTGGAGGCTCAGCTCCTGCCTCGAGGGTCCTGGGAACCAGGCGGGGAGAGGCCAGAGCCACGGGCTGCCACCCTGCAGTTTACCACACTGCCAGCAGGTAGGCGGGCTTGGGTGCCTGGTGTGTGTAACCCCTGGGGAGGTCAGGCCCGGGAGGGTGGCCCCAGGGGAGACTGGCTGCTACTTGCATCTTTAGGCAAGTGGCAGAGTGGGCTGTTCTCTCTGGCGGGTGTGCTCCAATCCTGGGTCTTGTGCCCCCTCCCCTAGGCCCACCTGACGCCCCCCTGGATGTGCAGGTCGAGCCAGGGCCCTCCCCTGGGATCCTGATCATCAGCTGGCTCCCGGTAACGATCGATGCGGCCGGCACCTCCAACGGCGTCTGGGTCACAGGCTACGCCGTTTATGCTGATGGGCAGAAGGTACAGCCTGGGGCTGCCCTCTCCTGTACTCTGGGAGTGGGGCGTGGGTCTCTGCCCTCTTCTGTATCCTGGGAGCGGGGCATGGGTCTCTCTCCCCTCTCTGTGCTGAGAGGCCTCGTCTCCCCAGCCTGGCATGGAGCTGCCCGCCCTGGGCATCTGGACCCTAGGTAGCAGGTTGGTTAAGAGCATGGGCTTTGGGAGCCCACGGACTAGGACTCCAGCCCTGGGGCCCCGTAACCAGAAGGCTCAGTGCCAGCGGCCGTGGTGCTGTGGGTGCCTGTGTGTATTACTGCAGCCCCCCTTTCCCACGCTGTGCCCCCCACCCGCAGATCATGGAGGTGGCCTTGCCCACGGCAGGCAGCGTGCTGGTGGAGCTGTCGCAGCTACAGCTGCTGCAGGCGTGCCGCGCGGTGGCCGTGTGCACCATGTCGCCCCACGGCGAGTCGGCGGACTCCCTCCCCGCTCCTGTTGCCCCCGCCCTGGCTGAGGCCTCCAGGCCAGTTTTATAGATTCCTTAGAATCCTCTACACATGTGATCATACTTGTATATGCACAAAGACAGTTTCACTTCTCCCTTTCAAATTTTGATGCATTTAATTTCTTTTGCTTGCCTCACTGCACTGATAGTGCAACGCTTAATAGAAACACAGGAAGAGGACACACTTGCTTTGTTTCTGGTCTTAGGAGAAAGCCTTCAGTCTTTCACCATTATGATGTTAGCGATAGGGTTTTTTGCTAGAGGCCCTTTGTCTGGTTTGAGGAACTTGTCTTCTATCCCTCATTTGCAGAGAAATGTTTTTTGTTTTGTTTTATTTTAAAGAGAATCTGCATTAAATCACAACTGCAATGAAGTATCACCCCACACCCATCAGAATGGCCATCATCAAAAAATCTACAGATGATCAATGCTGGAGAGGGAATGGAGAAAAAGGAACCCTCCTACATCATTGGTGGGAATGTAAGTTGGTGCAGTCACTATGGAGAACAGTATGGAGGAGGTTCCTTAAAAATTGGAAAATAGGACTACCCTGGTGGCCCAGTGCTTAAGAATCCGCCTGCCAGTGCAGGGGACACGGATTCAATCCTTGGCCCTGGAAGATTCCACACGACATGGAGCAGCTAAGCCTATGCATCACAACTACAGAAGCCTGCAAGCTCCAGAGCTCGTGCCCCAGGACAAGGAAAGCCGCTGCAATGAGAAGCCCACACGCCACAACAAAGAGTAGGCCCACTTGCCTTAAATAGAGAAAGCCCAAGTGCAACAGTGCTTCCATAAAAATAAACAAACAAATCAATTTAAAAAACTAAAATAGAGTTACCGTATAATTCTGCAATCCCACTCCTGGGGCATAGATCCAAAGAAAACCATAATTCAAAAAGATACATGCACCCCAATGTTCATTTCAGCACTATTTACAATAGCCACATAGGAGCATCCTAAATGCCTATTGACAGAGAAAAGTATAAAGAAAATGTACACACACACACACACACACACACACACACACACACACACAGAGGGGAATATTACTCAGCCACAAAAAAGAATGAAATAATGCCATTTGCAGCAACATGGATCAGCCTAGAGATTATCATATTAAGTGAAGTAAGCCAGCCAGGAAAAGGCAAATACATATTACATCACTTATATTTGGAATTTAAAAAATGATACAAATGAACTTACCTGCAAAATAGAAACAGACTCAAACACAGAAAAAAAGGTATGGTCACCAAAGGGGAAGTGGGTGGTGGTGGTCTAGTCATTAAGTCGTGTCTGACTCTTGCGACCCCATGGACTTTAGCCTATGAGGCTCCTCTGTCCATGGGATTCTCCAGGCAAGAATGCTAGAGTGGGTTGCCATTTCCTTCTTCAGGGGATCTTCCCAACCCAGGGATCGAACCCGGGTCTCCTGCATTGCAGGCAGATTCTTTAGGAACTGAGATACGAGGGAAGCCCAAGGGGAGGCATAAAGTAGGAGTTTGGGATTAACATATGCACACTATTACATATGAAATAGATAACCAATAATGACCTACTATATAGCAAAGGAAACTACACCCAATATTTTGTAATAACCTGTAAGGGAAAAGAATCTGAAAAAAAGATATATAACTGAATCACTTTGCTGTACGCCAGAAACTAACACAGCATTGTAAATCTACTATACTTCAAACATTAATTAAAAATGGAGAGAACCAGTCTTAATTAATTTATTTTTATTTTTTAATATATGTATTCTTTTTCAAGTTCTTTTTCATAATGGCTTATTAGAAGATGTTGAATACAGTTCCCTGTACTATATGGTAAGAGGTTGTTGTTTATCTATTTTATATATACTAGCTTGCATTTGCTAATCCCAAACTCCTAATTTTTCCCTCCTCAGATTGTCCCCTCTGGTAACCATGAGTTTGTGTTCTATGTCTGTGGGTCTGTTTCTGTTTTGCAAATAAATTCATTTGTATCATATTTTACATTCCACATGCAAGTGATATCATATACTTGTCTGTCTCTGCCTGATTTACTTTAAGCTTAGCATAATAATCTCTTGGTCTACCCAGGTTGCTGCAAGTGACATCATTTCATTCCTTTTTCATGGCTGACTAATATTCCATTCTGTATACATATCATATCTTTATCCATTCACTTGCCTATGGACATTTAGGGTTTTTTTGGTCTTGACTATTGTAAAAAGTGCTGCTATGAACATTGGGGTGCACATATCTTTTTAAAATTTTATTTGTTCCAATTTTTTATGATTCTACTTTTTTTATGATTATTTATTTATTTTTGGTTGTGCTGGATCTTTGTTGGTGCACATGGGGTTTCTCTAGTTGTGGTGAGCAATGGGTTACTCTTCATTTTAGTGCACAGACTTCTCATTGCCTTGGCGTCTCCGGTTGGGGAGCACAGACTCTAGAGATTGTGGGCTTCAGTGACTGTGGTGCATGGACTTAGTTGATCTATACCTGTGGAATCTTCCTGGGCCAGGGGTTGAACCCCACTGGCAGGCAGATTCTTAACCCCTGGGCCACCAGGGAAGTCCTGCGTGTATCTTTTTGAATCGTACTTTTCTCTGGATATATGCCTGGGTATCACTAGATCACATGGCAACTCCATTTTTAGGTTTCTTTTGGCCAGGCCATGCAGCTTGCTGACTCCGTCCCCCACCAGGGACTGAACCAGGCCAGACAGTGAAAACACCGAGTCCTAACCGCCGGATGGCCAGGGGATTCCCTATTTATTTCAGTTTCTTAAGGAACCTCCATATCGTGGTGGCACCAATTTACATTCGCCCTCCCCTCCACTCCCCAGCAGTGTGTAGGACAGTTTTCTCTTCTCACATCTGCAGAGAAGTTTTGTTTCTAAACCATCACTAATGGATGTTGGATTTTGTCAGGCGCTCTTTTGGCATCTAATGAGAGATCGCACCGTTTTTCTTAGTTGTGGCAAATCTCACTGATTGATTTTGGAGGGTGAAACCAACTTTACTTTTCCTGGGATAAATTCTACATGGTCATGAGCTGGGAGGAGGATGAAAGCCTACTCTCTAGGCTGAGCCCCTTATGCTGAATTGAGGAGTGTGTACTGGGTAAAGAGAAGTGGCGATGGTGGGAGACTCACGCCCAAGTGAGGTTCCGGTGTTAACATCTGGGCTGATCCATTCTCTGTTTCCTACCTGCCCTCAGCCACGGGTCCTTACCCGTTAGGGAGTCTCTGTTTCTCCGTTAAGGTAAGAACCTCCCCTTGGGTCATAGAACTCTGGTCCTCAGGGCAGAGGAAAGGACCTCTTGTTTCTGAATGTAACCAGGATCCATCTCCACTGTGTAACGCCCTCTCTCACACCCTTCTGTTGGCCGCGAGGGGCTTCTTCTTGCCTGCAGAGAGGAGGACATAAGTAGAAAGTTCTCCTTAGTCCCAACCTCTGCTGGGCACGCCTGGTCCTGGTCTCATCTGCTCTCTGCTTTCCCCACCAGGTTCCAGGATCCTTCTCTCTCCCTGGGGGTTTCCCACAGCTCTTGTTATTTTCTTGCTCTACAACAATTTCACTTCCATGACATCTCCACAGTCAAGTTTGGCTGATGGATCCTGTAACCCACGTTAATTCTGCTTTGCCTGAAATCAGGGTTAGCAGAATTTCAGGAGCTGGAAGTCTACTTGTGACAGAGAACCTAACTGCAATATTAGATGCATAAAGATAAAAGAGCAATATCTTCCAAGTATTGGTGTGCTGCAGTCCATGGGATGGCAAAGAGTCAGGCACAGCATAGTGACCGAGCAAAAATAAATCTTCCAAATATTGAAGAGAAAGAAACTTGGACTTGAATTCTATACTTAGACAAATGATCAGTCACGCTACTGAAGTCTCCCACACGTTAAGCCTTTAATCCTAAATGCCATGTGTGCCAAGGTTAGCATTTCAATCTTTGATAACGTTTGACTTCATTTTAAGAAACCAAAGTAAAAGTAATCCAAAACTACAGATTATGTACAACAAGTCAAAGTTTGCTACTTTGGGGGGAAGTTGAGGGGGAAGGAGAGATTATTAATCATTTGTGGTAAAATTATTATATTTTTCCTGGTAAAACTCTCAGAGGGGTATTGACTTTAAAGTAAAGCTCCCACTGCCTCAGCCTTTTCAGTCCCATTCCCCAAAGGTAACCATAGCTAATAGGCTTCTGTGTCTGCTTCTAGAATGTTTTATACATATTTAAAATATGAGTGTGCATAAAAATGGCACGTGAGTGTGTGCACTTTGTATGAATTGCATTATGCTATATATAACATTTTATAGGGCTTCCTTTGTAGCTCAGTTGGTAAAGAACCTGCCTATAATGCAGGAGACCCAGGTTTGATTCCTGGGTTGGGAAGAACCCCTGGAGGAGGAAGTGGCAACCCCCTCCAGTACCCTTGCCTGGAGAATCCCATGGACAGAGGAGCCTGGTGGGCTACAGTCCAAGGGGTTGCAAGAGTCAGACACGACTTAGCAAGTAAACCAATGTTTTATAACTACTTCTTTCCTTTCAGCAGCATATCTTTCTTTTTCAAACGATCTTTTTCTTTTTAAAAATTATTTATTTATTTGTCTGTGTTGGGTCTTAGGAACAGCAAGCTGGATCTTTGGTTGCAATGCACAGAGTCTCTAGTTGTGCTGCGGGCTCCAGTAGTCACAGCAGGTGGGCTGAGTTGCTTCGAGGCAAGTGGGACCTTAGTTTCTGGACCAGGGATCGAACCCGCATCCTCTGAACTGAAAGGCGGATTCTCAACCACTAGACCAGGAAGTCCCAAAGTAGCTTTATTGTTACATATAGACCTCCCTCTTTAGTCTTAAAGGCTGCATTTATGTAGATGTACCACAATATGGCAAAAATTTGTTGAGGACATTTGGCTTGTTTATAGTCTTCTTGATTGTTGCAAATGAGGCTGAAATGAACACTCTTGTGCAGGTATCTTTCTGTTTTCCTAAGAATGCATCTGAAAAATAAATTCCTTTCTGGAAGTAGGAATGTT